TCTTTTACTAATAAAGTGACTGATTGATATACAAGCTGTTATACAGTTGTTGACAGATTGACTACATAATAGAAACTATTATATTATGTTGATATATATATATATATATATATATATATATATATATATAATTGCACAATGATATTTCTGTTGTATTAGGACAATTCTATGCTGAATATTTTTTGATACTGGCTATCAGTAACGTTTTATATTGATCATTGTCAAAGTATGAAGCTGAAGCTAATCACTAAACACAAAAATAATTACTGATAAAAGCAGTCCCTCTAATTGTAAAAATGAATTATGTGCAAGATAAATCATAGTTGCAGTACAAACAACAACAAAAAATGAAACTTCAAAGTCCGTTGTAAATCAATAAAAGTACAAAAGCTCTAAGTATTGATCTATTTGTCTTCCACTCACAAACATAAGTGTTTATGTCTCTTATACACTGTTGATTGTGTTCAGATCTTTAAAGCAACTAGTTATCTATGCAATATTATCACTGTTCTACAAAACATTCATATTTATGCTAATCATTTTAACCTTGTTTAATATTAAAACATGCCCACAAAATTGGTTAAAACACTACAACAGTAAATGAAAAATAAAATTCTAGAGTTCGTTATTATTTATGCTACATAATATGATCATTTTCAACATTTCGTCCGGAAATTTCACAATAATCATTTGCCTCAACTGTAACAGGATGGCATATTCTTAATAAATCTACTTTAACTGGTAGTCAATGCAAATAGTTATTAGTTTTAATTATTTATTTTCCTTTTTACTAAATTCTCCGAAAGTGTTGTCCTATGAGCTTCAATCCAAGTTAATTTTTATTTATGGTCTACTTCAATCATTTTATAATACAGCAAAATATTAAAAAAAATTTTCAACAGGAAATTTGCCAGGACTTTTATTCCCATGTTTTTAAATGACCAAGGAGGGTTATATTTTTTTTTAACTCGCTGTACACACTCCAACTATATCGGTTGTCATTTAGAGTTTAAAATTTTTTCTACTCATTTCTCTAAATATTTTTTTTGATAAAATTTTGCATTTAATAAGGTTTTGCCTCCATCATTCAATTTTTCTCACTTTCACTATTTCAAAGGAATGTCGGTATGCAAATGTACAGCAATCAAAACAATTTCACAACTTCATTCTTGAAGGCCGAAAATAATTTGTTTGGCACAATAAGAGCTACAGATGGTGTTACAAAAGCATTAACAAAGCCTAATAAAATTAGACATTATTTTCAAAATATTTCGACAATTAATTACTGACTGTATACTTGGTGCTCCCGAAGTTAATTTATTTCTAGAAAATATAATGTTCACAGGAAGTTACGTGTAATTAGAATATTTTCATATTTCCTTTCCATTCCTCACACTTAATGATGACGTTTTGCTTTTTAAACGTTTACATAAGCCGAAACGTTTGAGTAATGCATATTATTGACATAGAGCTCTCCAACGGACAACTGCCTAGAGCCGTTCAAGTACTGCCATTTTATGTAAGGCTTTTTGAGTATTTGCTCCGCTCTTAAAAGCCTTTAGTGGGCACCCTTACTGACGGAGACGGAAATCCGTGAGGTATGGTGAGGTGTGAAATTTTTAGGGTCAACCTTTTCTAAACCTTCCTTCCATGTGAGAGGGCAGCATCGCTGCAGATACTGGTTTTCCAAGGTAAACACCTCACTGTTTTCACACCCCTCTACAGTCAGTAGTACGACTTCACCCTCAGACTTTGAGTAGCTGCTTTTAGTCTCATCGTTCTCCAATCGACCTGCCTAGCATGGTAGAACCTTCAGGAACATATGTTACAGCTTATATTTACTTACTTACTTACTTACGCCTGTTACCCCCAATGGAGCATAGGCCGCCCACCAGTTTTCTCCAACCAACTCTGTCCTGGGCTTCCCTCTCCAGTTCTGTCCAATGTTTGTTCATTCCTCTCATATCTTTCTCTATTTCTCGGCGTAGTGTGTTCTTTGGCCTTCCTCTTTTCCTTTTGCCTTGAGGGTTCCATTTGAGGGCTTGTCTCCTCCACTGGAATCTGACTTGTTCTCTCCCACAGTTCGTTGTTGCTGATGGTGTCTGGCCAACGAATACGAAGTATTTTGCGTAGACAGCTGTTAATAAACACTTGTATCTTCTGAATGATGGCTTTGGTAGTTCTCCATGTTTCCGCTCCATACAGTAGAACTGTCTTGACATTTGTATTTACAGCTTATATAGCTGTATATATAACGAATCCGTAAATGAGATGAACCGTACTGTAATGACAAAGTAATAAATTTATGCTTTGCCTAGCATTAAAAGCAGCAATAATTTGATCTATGTAAATAAACATTTTTATTTACATTCACAGAATTTATCAACTTAATATTTATTATTTTAATATGGACTGTAAGTAACAGTAGAATAAAAAACGTTTCACCCAATATTTGACTTATCAGCTAGATATAATAAATTCAACAGATTTTATTCAAGTATTACATGGTCGCACTCAAGTTTATAGTATTTGTGACTAGAATATATGTTAATTTCACCAATAAAATAATAATGAACAGATTATGACTTAAAATCTCAACGGATAGATGATTAGCGTTTTGAGCATTACCAACAACATAAGCTAACAAATCTCATATCGGAAATAATCCACGACTTGTATTACACTCTGATGCATAATCTAAAATATAATAAACTTACATCATTGAGTATTACTAAAGTTTTGGTTCTATAGTCAACACAGATTGATAGGAAAAATAATCAGGAGCAGATACAGTGAAAAACAAGTATCGCCATGATTTTAGAAGAATTATTAGATGATTAAACACTCTTAATATACTTTATTTGTCAATCAGTTGTGAAATCCTTATTTTCGTATTAACATACTGTTTTGTAAGAAATTTCAAGTTATTCTAGACTGTAATACTGATAGTATTGAGTTTCACAGGTTCATATTTTAATATGTTACTGTAGATAGAGTAATATTAATAAATCTAACTGATATCAAGAGGAGCGATAACAGCATTAACATTCCAGAAACAGTTCTGTTTTCCTTTTGCTATGACATTTATGAAGGTAACATGATTTATTTCAAACCTGCTTTTTTCTATCGAATTAATGTACAATAAAAAAGATCATATTCAACATGTAAGTAGCTAGATAGTGATCAAACATTCAGGTGTTATATTTACCAGGAAGTAAAAGTTATGTCGATCAAATACAGCTGTAACATAATGTTTCTTTATTTCGACATATTTATGTGGCTGAATTGAATAAATGAGTAAATGAATATGTATAACAATTTATAAAAATGATTTTTACAATTACCTGAAAATTGAGTAAACTACTAAGGCAATATAGTGGTGCTGAGTATGAAAATTATGGGATTTGAACTTGACGAATATGAATTTTAAAAATAAAGCGATCCCTATGAATAATTCCAAAATCTTTCTTAACACAATACAAGAACCATAATCCATGTAAGTACGAAAAGTTTTGTGTGATATTTAATGAGGATTATCATGAAATGGTTGTTTGTATGTCGGAGAGTAAAAAAAAGACTTTAAAACAATGCATATTTATGATGTTGATTCGAAGTGACCGGATTTTATAAATTATGTGTTGGAAACAGCTAATATTATTACTGGGCTATTTTCAACGGATAAGGAATTTCAAGATGCTGATCCAAAAAGACTTCAAATTTATTTTATCTTTCATTTGACCTAGTCAAATAATTATTATATTCACTTTTAGAAAAGTGATCTATATTTAACTGGAATATTTATAATATATAATTATTTAAGATTTCCGTTGTATAATAATCACTGATGAAAAAAAAACGCATTTCCAAGGAATATTCTTATTCTTATCGGGTGTTTGAAAAAAATTAAGTCTTTCTTTATATTGTTTAAAACAGTTCAAACTATTGATCAGTTTTATTACTGACATCACGAACTGATGTAAATTAGATATCTGCTGACAATTAGAAACTTTGTGGACGGCTCAGCAGTACGTGTTCTAATCTTCGTAAATAGAATAAGAGTATAATCTTTAAACCACGGAGTCAGATCAACGATTTAAATACTTATCTCGTAGTGCATTCATGTCAAGCCCATAAGTCATGTCTCAAGCCTATGGACAAATGAACTAATCCAATCTACCCGAGTTACAGCTCAATCGTCAATTGACCTTGTCAACTCACGAAGTTAGTCACTTGATAACTATCAGATTGGAAGATTTTAGAATATATTAAATGTTACGGAGGTCAGGAATAGACCTAAGTTGAAGTGACTGATTAACTCTAGACATTTAATCTACTAAATACTGGGTTAGCATTCAATAAAATGCAAGCCTTCAGTTTTTAATTCATGAATTTACTCAATTCAATAGAAACAATGCTTTTTTAAACGATATAATACATGTTATCGTCTATAAATCTATTTGCGCTACTATTTTGATGCAGCTTAGCTAATTCAAAACAATCTACCATGAATGTCAACTTAAATAAATAAATTTGTGTGTAACAGATTTTTAAAAAAAAATCCATATCAGAAGGGAATCAACCGACATTACAATGGGAAATAACTAGAATACTAACTAAGAGTATTAAATTTGCAAACGATAATAGGACAAAGAAAGAATATAAAATTATTTGCGTCAGGCTCTCTGCCATAGTCTTTATATGATTGGTTGCAACCGTCGCCCAATAAATGTAACTTTGTATTTATTTATTCACTTATTGGATTGGTTACTGAATAAAAAAAATAAACAAATAAAGCTACTGATCTGATGTGAAATAAATGGTGATGGGATAATTACAATTAACATGATATCCGCCGTTGTATTTGACAAATAGTCTAGTATGCAGAACCAAATGTTTTCAGTTCTGTTGCACTTAAACATACATTTAATTCTATATTGTAAAAAGTAATGTAACTGATATACAATAAAATGTTAATATTCAATTAAAATATTATTTAAAACATGGAATCTAAGTTTTCTCCAGACATAGGAAAATTAATTATAAAAATCTACGCAAGTTTATTATTACTATTTGGTTTACCTGGTAATATTATTAGCGCTATTATAATGGGTGGAGATCGATCGAATCGTCTGACAACTCGTTTAATTATTATCATTTTGGCCATAGCCGACAATCTCGTCTTGTTAACTGCTGTACTGCGTTATTGGTTAATGGAAGTTTGTGGATGGGATTTACGCACAACCGGGCCGATAACTTGCAAACTTCATGTATTTGCTGTAGGATTTTCAACAGATTTTGCAGTTGGTGTATTATGTGCTGTAGCAGTGGAGCGTTTACTCGTTGTTACATTGCCATACAAAGCATCTAATTTAGTAACATTGAATTCTGTGATAATTGGCATGGTATGTTTTGCTTTAAGTGTGGCTATTAAGAATTCACTACATTTTTGGATGATGGGTGGACAAAAATCACAACAATCTCAAGTAGATTCATTAAATTTGTACAAAATCAATCAAACTATAAAGAACGAGATCATCAATGCTGATAAAATATTTACAGAAAATTCAACTAGAAAAGAACCATTTAAATGTACATTTGTATCAGAATATGAATTTATTTTCAGAATTTTCATGAAATTTGATCTTATAAGTTTTGCTGTTCTTCCTTATTTAATATTATTTACGAGTAATGTAATTATTTATATAAAATTGCGCAATCAACGACGTTTAATGCGATGTCATGCAAATACTTCACCTATGGTTCCCAATACAACTAATACAAATATTCACTCTAAAAATTCAAATTCTCATAAACAACGACGTCAGTCAGATCGTAAGTCACTTAACCAACCAGAATTGACAAATCAATTACAATCAAGAGATACACGAGGCAAACGTTTAACACGTAGACCAGAAGATGTTGTCAAACTGTTAACGGCACTGACTATAATTCATGTTATTTGTACATTACCAGGCACAATTTTTACTTTCCTGTCATCTTATTTCAATTATTTTCATGATATGCCGAAGCATGTACATGATCAAATTAAATTCGGTTTAGTTATGTTAATATTTACAAATAATGCAATTAATTTCTTCGGTTATTGTATTTCTTGTACAACATTTCGTCAAACAATTATTCGTGTTCTAAGTCACTTATTTCATTGGAAAATAAATTGTCATAAGATAAAGCAAAGTAATGAAATACAGGATAATAATAATAATAATAACAGCAAATATCAAGGAATAGAGGAGAAAATCATAGATAATATTAACTTCATAAAGAAACAAGACCAGTATACATGATTTGTTTCAGTCATGTTGATTGTAAGGTGTTATTGAATTGATAGTATCTTATCATACAAAACAAAATTTCCCAATGTATGAAAAAAATCAGGAATCATGGTTGAACTACTTCATTATTGTTCCCGGAGTGAGACACATATGCTGTCACAAGTGTATTATCATTCTAACAAACCTCATCATTTTACTTGAAACAAATATTTAATAAGTAAATATTATTTTCAAATGTAAGAAACCCGGTTGTATTTAGTAACTTTAAATTAAAATGATACAATATAATTCATTTATGCAAATTCATCATGTTTTTGAATATTATGAAAAAATCTGTTTCATGACTAATCTGCAAGCTAATAACATTAAATAGTAAATAATTAACTGAGTTTGGTGTTCATAAATCTTCAGAAAATTTATAAATTTAACTAGATCTATATTCGTTGAAATGAATTTCTGAACCACTTAGTAATCTTTCAAATTATAACTTTAACTATTGGCTATTATTAGTCATCGGTCGGTAAATATTCGCTTTCGTAAATACGAATATTTAATAAATCTACCAGTTAATAGCTCGTGCTAAACCGATTAATCAAAAGATATTTATATAGTACAGTAAAGTGCATGAAGAAAGATGATATCTAAGTACAAACAGTATTCTGTAATACACGAATAACATTTTGTTAAAAGGTTAATTTCATGATTGTTAGTCTTTGATTCTGCATTATCAGATGATCTTTAGACATTTGCCTGCACAACTGGTAATTATTGTAATATTCATCTGACTAAACATAATAGCGAAATACAATAATGAATTTTTATATTACCAATTCATTTGAAATATTAGAAGGCTTTATCTCATAGAATTATAGTTTCACAGAAGAGATTGTGTGTACTTCATAATTTATCACCATAAATACTTACATTTTATTTGATTCTTTATTTATAACTTATGAAGTTGCATTTTTTTTATTCAGGGTTCATTTATTCTAGTAACTGATAAACTTTCGTGGCTGGGGATGAACATAAATATATATATATATATATATATATATAACTTTATATCAAAAATATTTTATATAATATGGTTTTATTTCGGTACACGAGTTTGATAATGTTCATGGATTTGCATAGTTTTAAATTTATTTGATTTAACATTCACGATATACCTCATTTTATTTTATTCGTGACATTATTCCATGATTGATCTCGTTTTTGGAATAACGCATAGCTTTTTCATTCTAGAAAGTCACTTAGAGAATAAGAAATTCTCCAGCGACCTACTTCATTTAAAATGTCACAGTGTTGTTACGGGCGACCTAACTCGAAATGAGTTCCCAAAGTTCTAAGGGCAAATTATGGGTGATAGAATTCAGATATGTCTAGAATAGAACTACTAAGTAATAATTCTTCTACATCACAAACACTTGTTGTTAGTGACGTATATCATCTGTTGATAACCTAATGGCTCCAACAGTTAGACAGTTTCGCCGAAAAAAAGGGCTATTGGCTTGACCCTACAGTTGGTCATATATGGATACTTTCAAAGAGTAGTATATTACGGTATTGTTCCAGCTGTGATCGATTCCTAATGAACACTTCTAGCAGATATATGTATCTAATGTCTGAATAAGCTGTTAAGACACAGTTATTAAGAATAATACCACTGAAACCTTTGTGAATTTAGAACCTGCCGTTCAATAACATTTTCTGCACCAGGTATCATATTAAAAGACCGTGGTTGGATTATAAGTTTTAGACAGTGCTTATTATTTCTAAATTAACATCCATTCAAAAAATTAGGAATAAAATCAAAGTGATTTAGAATTGTACGGATGAAATGTCTTCGGTTCGATTCCCATTTCTGAGGTAGTGAATGCACACTGTCGATGAGTCCCATACTAAAACGAGGGGACTGGATAGTGCTTCCAGGCTTTTAATGGTGATCTAACATGGATCAATTCATGGCAAATTTTCTATAGGTTATTAATAATCCAACTAATAATTGTTTGAATTTATTTTAAACTACTCAAATTATGGTAATGTCACATGTAAGTCATACATACAATTAACAATGTTGCTTTGGGTAGTGGTACAAGGCATGTAAATCTAACTCATTATATTTATCGAATTAAATTAACCATGTCATAATAATCAAGGTTTTCATCATGGGTAACATTTTATAAAGTTAATGTTAATTTTTAATTCTTAGCATGTACAGACTATGAATAATAAAATATAATTATGGTGAAATTTAAAAAAAAGGCTAATGAACATAAATATTCAGCAAAGTATTGAACAACTTTTTTTCCATTCATCTTCTTCTAATCACTGACCATTAATTTAAATGAACGACTGATATAGGTGTGTGAGAATAATAATAATAATCGTTCTTTAATATTATATCAATAAGCAATATCTAATATTTGTGATCATTTTTTCGTCCATTTAGTGTATCAGCACTGCTTATCAGAGTGAAAACTTCACTAGAAACTTCATTCTAATCAATTGATGATATGCATTCTGAGTGTATAGTACTAAAGAGCATCCCAACCTACATGGCGAAAAAAATTGAAGTGAATTTTACTGATGAAAATGAAATTCTCAGGGAAAATCATGAGCTTAAAACTACAGTCAACTTACTAAACGGACAAGAGAATGCAATATATATATATATATATATATATATATATATATATTTCACTTTTAATGATCACTTCCTCATCATATTTGCATGAAGCGTGAAATTCGAAGTAATTAAGTTGACGTTTGTTTCTTTTAATCAGTTAAATAATTGAAGATAGCATTTTAAATTATACGAACGTCGTTGCTATACATTATAAGCATGTTGTTTTGCTTTTAAAAACCTAAAATACAGATACAGTTCTTTCTAAAGACACCTTAAGATAAATAAATACTAACTTCATATCTTTTGCCCAAATAATAGTAGTTGCGATTAAATTAAATAAACAGGATAATAGGATTTTAAAATGCCCATGATGTAAGAATACATGTATATAAGTTAAGAGAAGATACTTTCCCGTACATTTTCATCAGCTTGGCAAACTTTCTGACTAATACGATAGTATGAAATTCAAATTGAGTCGTTTCTTTATGTATCCTATTTAGAAAACTACCCCTGGCCAAACTTCTAAGGATGTTCATCTATATACTCGTAAATAATAATTAGTTCTAAATTAAAGTGTAGCGAGATAATATACAACAATAGCAGTCAAATTTAGGCCACCCTATTTTCTAGATTATTTTTTGTAATAAGAATAGAAATGATGAATCCAATGAGAAGAAAACTTCTGAATCCTTCTTTCCTATATCATAAAATTATTATTCTTATAAATTTCGGCTATTCATTTAGAATTCATCTCATTTTATCGTTTCTTATTCAAATCATATAGTAGTTTTAATTGTACAAACATTTATCCTATACTTGAGAAGACTATTAATAATACGATTTTTCTCATCTATTTTATTTATATTTCACGAAATTTCATGATGACAATCTACTATGTACATACATGCTTCAATAAGAATTGATCGAATGCAGTTGTTCCTACTTCCAAAGGAAAAAAATTCAAAATCATATTCGAACATGTCAGTGGTTATTCGAATCCAGTGGCTAAATAAATAATGAGTTAGCGTTCAAAGGAAAAGCTACTAAGTTTGAATCTCAATATATGTATCAGGACTGGGACGCAGATGGTAAACATTTGATAAAATCAAACACTTGTCCGGCACTCTATGTTCAGACACAATCCATCTTGACCTAAACTTATGTGAATCGTTTGATTTCGATAAAGATCGTTACTTTCAGTATAAAGCAAGCAGTTGGACGAAATGTTAGCGCTCGTAGATAATAGGTGGATTTTAAAAATATTCATAACTGCTAAGTTATCTGAGGGGAGACAAAATATGCGACTTTCAAATTAAATACTCATACTCAACTTTCATGGAGTTTTAGTGGTAAACTACTAGAAAATAAATATTTAAATAACTTCAGGTTTGATAGTTGAGATGTTTTAAATAGGTACAAAATTAGTGAATCTGTTACAAGAAGAACATCATAATTAATACGACTGATACAATTTTAGAATCCTCCTACAAAAGTCTAATCAGTGATTTTTAACAAAATTTGTTTATGTCTTGATGTTGGTATCTTGATGGCTAAAGTGAGGCCATCAGCACGAGATGTCCGTGTGTCAACTCAAACTGACTGCATTTCAACCAAAAATTTCGGAATTCTCGAACCATTTCAAATTGAATCAAATATCTTCATATAATTTTTGAGGAGTGTTACCATGGAATACTAATCATGTAATTTAAATTGTGTTCATTTTAGCAAACCTGATTGTAGCTTAAACATGTCACAATTCGAAAAAAACAGATTTTTTAAAAATGTTTGAAATTAAACAAGTGAAAATCTGTAACATATGTAAAATTCATGTTCGTAAAGTTAACGTTGTTCACTTAAATTCCTGACCTGTTTATCCGTGATATATCTAACTTCTTTCAATAATAATTTTTTTCTGAAAATACCTTTGTAAGCTCGTTTCTCAAAATGGCGTCAGATAGCAAAAATATTCAGTTTCTGATATATATAGGCGTTTCTTAAACCCGAATGTATATTTAGTGTATTTTTCATAGTTTCCTGTAGCTGTTTGTTTATGCATCCACTTATAAAAAAATTTCAGTGATAATTAGACTAAAATTTATTTTGATTGTTTCACCATTTGACCTAATTTTTTTTATTTTGTAATATTATATCCATTAAAATATACTCATAATTAAAAATCATTAATTTCGCTATAACACATTGGAAAAATAAATTCAGGCAAATTTTTCAGATAGTGTTAATTGAATTTATACATATCTGATGCTTTTTAATTTTATAACCACTTAATACTGTTTGTATTAGTTTTATCTTTCTCAAAATCTTTAAACTTTCCTATGTGTATTATATATGTTTTTGAATAGATTGCGTTTATGAACTGTTTATG